CCCGATCTGCCGACAAACAGCTGATCGGCAGATCGGGGCAGCCATTTAAATTTAAATGAAGCCGCGATTATTTTAATCGCGGCTTCATTTCCCCCTTCCGATCTGGCTAATCTACATGCCTCCGTCGAAGGAGGCATGTAGTCTAGACACACCCGGAGATTGTTATAGAAACATCCTTGTAGTGGGAGAACACTACCGCAGCCCAACACTATAGCATTTAATTTCAGAAAAGGGACTTCAGAAAAATAAGGAAGTTAATCAAGCAGAAATTAAAAGGTACAGTACCAAAAGTGAAATCCCTGCAAGCTGCATGGAAACTTTTTAAGCATATCATAACAGAGGCTCAACCTACATGTACACCTCATTAAAAAATATGGTAAAAGAAAGAACAAAACCAAAAAAAAGTCAAAGCTAAATCCAATTGAGAAAAATAGAAAGGAGGTAGTTGTGCAGGAAGGGGATTACAGAGGAGGCTTGCACACCACTTGCCAATTAGGGACAAGCTGGGCCCTATAAAAGGCTGTGAGAGCTGAGAAGCTAGCTTCTGGTTGTCTGGGAAGCTACAGAGGGTACCTGGGATAGAGCAGGGCTGGGGCAAGACAGGCAGAGCTGAGGAGCTTTGGCATGACCCAATTCCCAGACTGCAGGCCTGAGGGACACTAGGGCTGCAGGGAGGCAGCCGGGACAGGAGAAGGTAGCAGGTCCACACTGCCTTCCAGATGATGAGCGGCCATTTCAGACTGCACTTTGCCCCTGGGGCAGAGGCTAAATGATGACTGGCCACTGAGGCAAGGTATAGGGGATTAGGGTTCCCTGAGCAAGGAGAACCCCAGAGTGTGATAAGGTCACTGCAGAGAAACTAATTATTTGCATTGGTCTTCACAGCTGTGAGGGAAATTCCCAAACCTGAGCCATTCATTTTAGGTGACAAAACTGCGGAAATGCCTAAGATTAAGGCATCATTAGAGGAGGTTTAGGAACAAATTGACAAACTAAACAGTAATAAGTCTCCATCAACAGACAGGATACACCCAGGCCCACTGACAGGTTGGGACAAAGAGGGCAACTGCGGCATTGGCAGCCAGAGCCTTGGGCCCTTTAATTTGATGCTGGAGTCATATGTGACATGCTCTTGTCAGCTCTGAAAGGGTTATGGGGATGGCTAGCCCTCGTTCCTTCTGCCTGAAGCCCTGCCCCTTCCAGAAGTGTGGAGCTGTTGTCCTACACCTTGCCCAGGGGACCAACAACTCTGTCAGCCTCCCTGTATGCACCCAAGAGTGCTAAAGGAACTCAAATATGAAATTGCAGCTCTACCATCTGTAGTTTGTAACCTATTATTTAAATTAGCTTCTGTATCAAATAACTGGAGGATAGCTAATGTTTTTTCGTTTTTTTTAAAAAAGCTCCATAGGTGATCTTGGCAATTACAGGCAGATAAGTACTTCGGTACTGGGCAAACTGGTTGCAACTATAGTAAAACCAATATTGTTAGACACGCAGGTGAACACAGTTTGTTGGGGAAGAGTCAATATGGTTTTTGTAAAGGGAAATCATGTTTCACCAATCTACTACACTTCTTTGAGGGGGTCAACAAACATGTTAACAAGGAGGACTGAGTAACAGTTTACTAAATTTTTTATAACGCCTTTGACAAGGTCCCTCACCAAAGGCTCTTAAGCAAAATAAGCTGTCACAGGAAAAGAGGGAAAGTCCTCTCATACTTTGGTAACTGGTTAAAAGGTAAGTATCAAAATATAGGAATAAACAGTCAGTTTTCCAAATGGAGAATGACAAATAATGGTGTCCTCCAGGGGTCTGTACTGGGAATAGTCCTTTTCATAAATGATCTGGAAAAAGGAGTAAACACTAGACAGCAAAGGTAGCAAAATTTTCAGATTATACAAACTTATTCAACAAAGTTAAGTCCCAAACAGACTGTGAAGAACTACAAAAGGATCTCACAAAACTGGGTGAAATGGAAGATGAAAATGAGTGTTGATAAATGCAAAGTAATGCACATTGGAAAACATAATCCCAACTATACATATAAAATGAGGGGATCTAAATTGGTTATAACACACAAGAAAGAGATCTTAGAGTCATTGAGTGGATGTCTTCAGAGAATTATCCATAATGTGAAATAGAGATAGCTAAGAGAGGATATAATAAAGGTTTATAGACTCATGAATGGTATGGAAAAAGTCAATAAGGAAGTGTCATGTACTCCTTCTCATGGCACAAGAAATAGGAGAAACCAAATGAAATTAATAGGCAGCAGGTTTAAAACAAACAAAAAGAAGTATTGCTTCACACAACACAGTCAACTTGCCAGATGATGTGGAGGCCAAGGTTATAACAGGGTTCAAAAATAATTTGATAAATTCATGGAGGACAGGTCCATCAACAACTATTAGCCAAGATGGGCCGGGATGGTGTCCCTAGCCTCTGTTTGTCAGAAGCTTGAAATAGCTGACATAACATGGATCACTTGATAATGACCTGTTCTGTTCATTCCCTCTGAGACACCCGGCATAGGCCAGTGTTGGAGGACAGGATACTGGGCTAAGAGGACTTTTGGTCTGACCCAGTATGGTCATTCTTATGTTAAATTTAAGATGTATTAAAACATGAATCTCTATATCCCACTGCATAACTTCTGGAAAGAGTTTACTGGAGTATGTTTAACTATGTAGATTTAAAATGTATTAAAAGAATCAACCACAAGAGTGGGAGGCTGGACACATTGGTACGTTCACTAAAATTTAGTTAATACTATACTTAATACATTTTTATTTTTTTACAAAATGTAAAAACTAAAGATTCTCCGTAAAATGAAATTTCCTTGTTTTTTTTTATAGCAAACTAATTTCTAAGATCCCTACTAAGAAGCCTCTCCAAGGGTAATCAATTTCCTGTTACCTAATTATAGAAAATGTGGCTTTTCTTTTCTGCCTCTAAAATGCTTCATACTGCAGATGCAGTTCATCCACAAAATAAAACCTTTTCTGATCACACCAAAATGCTCACATAATAGTTGTCATGTATTAAAAATTTCATAAGATTTTTTATTCAGGATTCTAGAGAACTACACTGGGCAGGAGTAAAGTTCACCCTAATTTTTCAAAACATTTTATTTCCCTTTATTCAGTACAGCTTCTAAGAATGCTGAATGACAAATATTTGCTGAATGACAAATATTTGCTATAAGGCAGATGAATAACTACCTTGCCAAAGAAGGGTACCAAGTGGTGCTCACAAAGGGAAAACATATCAATATCCTTGACGATCACCATTTCATTATGATCTTCATCAAAGATTGCATCATTGAGTATATCTGAAAGGACAAAATGAGCAGTTAACTGAAGATTCTGCACAGGATTCTATCCTGAACAGGGTTATGCATGTACTGCAATTGGAAAATCTCAGAGAGATAGCTGTGTTAGTCTGTAACTTAAAAATACAAGTAGTTCTGTAGCATCTTAGAGACTAACTAGATATATCTGACATGATACTAGTAGAACCTCAAACCTTTTAAAAATAGTTTTAATATAGACATATTCTCAGTTGCAATTCAATGGTTGTATAAAACTAAAAGTATAATTAAAATAATCAGTTTTAAGTACAGGTGAAATCCTTCATTCAACTCACTCACTCCATCATACATGCATGTAAGTAACTTTACACACAGGAATTTAGCAGCATCAAGGAATGCTTAACTATTTTATGCTGATGTACTTTTGTGGCCCAGCTCCCAATCACAGACAGGGGTGAGAGGAGCACTTATCACAGCACATGCCCATAAACAGAAAGAGGAGAGTACCCACTGTTTAGATGTTTAAGAGCATATTGCCTAGTAGATGAGTATAAAATAGTATCTGTTTGTAGAAGATGGGTACCTAGTACATGCATTCTTTATGAAATCTGTATTTCAGAAGCTGCAAAGCCTTATTTACATTCATTAGAAAGAGAAAAGTCTAAATACTGAAGATGAGAAAAAATTGTCATCTCAGAGACCAGATACTATTGTGCATATTACGATACAGAATGGCTTTAAATATCCCCCGCGGCATTTGCATTTACATGGCTGCCGCTTTTTTCCGGCTTGGGGGTAAGCCGGAGAAAAGCGCCAGTCTAGATGCGCCAGTCTTGAAAGTAGGAATAAGAAATCCTCCGGAAAAGGGCTTATTTTCCGGAGAATCACGTCTAGACTGGCGCTTTTCTCCGGCTTACCCCCAAGCCGGAAAAAAGCGGCAGCCATGTAAATGCAAATGCCGTGGGGGATATTTAAATCCCCCGCGGATTTTGCTATTCCGAAGTCTACATTAGCATCCCTTTTCCGGAAAGGGGTGCCAGTGCAGACACAGACAATTTGTACAGTATCAGAAAAATACAACATGGGAGGAAACATAAGTAATATGTTGTCATGGCTCCTTCCCCACTCTGGCACAATAAATGCAGAAGTGGGGGCCAGCAAGTGTACCCCAAAACCTTATCTACCAGGCTTTGATATAAAACTTCCCCCCAAAATCTTAAAACCCTAGATTTTGGGGATAGGATCTCTGCTGCCACCACCCAAATTAATAAAGAAACCAGGGGAGAGACCATTTGGGAAAATCTCACCCCTAAAGTAAAAAGCAGGACACCACCATTAAACAATACCAGGTTAAGAAAAGAACGTTAAAGAACATTTATTAGCACCACAATATTCCTATTGCAAGCATAATAACTAGATGAAAAAGTAACAAATAATATACTCATGGAGAAACTCCATGGGCCTAGAACTTAGTTACAAAGAAAAGCCAAACATCTTTTAAAAAGTGCACAGACAGCAGATCCCATACCCAAACCATAAAACAATGAAACCTAACGGATTTAACTAAACTTTACCCTACTTACAGAAAGTGAAGAAAGAGTCTTTTCTTGGAGGGAGACATAGTGTCTGTCCCCCTCAATACCTGAAGATAACTGCCCCCAGAACAAAATTTCCTCTGTCCCAGTTAGAAATTCCTACCTACATTCCTACTGACATATGTCAAAAATGGAAAAAGAAAAGTTCAGGATAAATATCCCTGAAAGGTAAAACCGAAACTGATTCTTACTCTTCGATATAAGTGTTTGCATAGTATTTTATATCATCATTCCTGAAAAGATAATATTAAACTTATTCACACCCCCCAAAAAAATGTTTGCAGGCTCAGGGCCATATTTTTGTTAAAAAAAAAAAAAAAAAAAGTTAACAAAGGTACTATTTAACTTTAAACTTTAATAATATGCCTCAGGAATAATTCATACACACCCACTGAACCTGCTGCTGCCACTTGCCTTTCCCCTCTCCCTTTTGTAACTGATGCTCAAGCTGAAAATCTTTTTTCTGGTTATTTGCATCAAGGTAATGCAAGGTGCCCCAGTCCTGTATGAGGATTCCATTGTGCTAGGCACTGCAAAAATATAGCACAAAATGGCACATTAGTTTTCTATAATGCATCTGACTGTGTGCAGATTCATTTATTTGAAAATTACTTCTCTCTTCTGCCTTCCTCAGGCTATTTATACCTACAATCATCATCATAAACCTGAAAGGTAAAATGAAAAAAAAAATTCCCTGTTTTTAATTCCCATTACTTGTACCGCTGATAGGACACTTCCTATAGTCAAGTTTATGAGACAGGGAATGGTTCTGAAGGTTTACAGAGGTGAAGTCTGTTAAAAGCAAGACCTGAAAACCCACAAAGCAGTAGGTGAGAATTTGCTCCCCAAATTAAGTGAACAATTAAGTGTTTTGTATCCCTGTTGGTTGGTCACAGGAGATCAGAGAGATAAGATGGGTGAGGTAATAGATTTTATTGGACCCACTTATGGTTAGAGAGACAAGCTTGGGAGCTTACAGTACCCTCTTCCATGACTGGGAAGTCATCTGAAGAAGTGTGCTGTGCCCAGGAAAGCTCATGATACCATCCGACATGTTTGTTAGTCTTTAAAGTGCTATTAGTCTATTGGTTGTTTTTTAAGTTTTTCCTATTCACAGTGTCAAAGCTAAATGCAAGATGGAACAGAGTGTTTAGTCGAAGTAGTTAACCCGTACTTCAAGGGGCCAGGCCAGGTGCTCTATTAACCCTCCAGTTCAAGGAAGCACTCAGCTGCCGAGGTGAGGGCCCTGCGGGGTGAAAGTGGCTCCGGGCTCTCCAGGAGCCGGGCGCTCGCACTTTTCCCTTCGCATCTGCGCGGAGCAGGACTCACCCTCGATGGTCTCTTGGTAGCCTTTGGTGAGGAACTGCATGGCTTTGGGGGTGGCAGGGTTCTCCCCCACCCCCTTCAGGATGCTCAGGTAGGCGTCCTCCAGGGCAGGCAGCTCGCCCACCTCCGGCGCCCCCAGGCGGTACTGCACCAAGCCGGGCGCTCGCACTTTTCCCTTCGCATCTGCGCGGAGCAGGACTCACCCTCGATGGTCTCTTGGTAGCCTTTGGTGAGGAACTGCATGGCTTTGGGGGTGGCAGGGTTCTCCCCCACCCCCTTCAGGATGCTCAGGTAGGCGTCCTCCAGGGCAGGCAGCTCGCCCACCTCCGGCGCCCCCAGGCGGTACTGCACCAGGGGCTCCACGCCCCTGCCTTCCAGCGCCCTTTCAGCCGCTCTAGGACCGTAATCCAGCCGTGAACTATGTACACATCCGCCCTGCTCCCTCCCGCTGCGGGGGGCGCTTTCCCGGGGCGCTGCTGGCTCCTTTGCCTAAGTGAAGAGGCTGGCGCTGGCTCCTTGTCCCCAGCTCCCCTGATTTGTGGCGCCCATGTCCTTATCGCGTGGTCAAAACTATGTAAAATACATCCGCGTGGGATCTTGCCCCATCGCCTTGCTCTAGTCTTTGTGGCAATCATTTAAATGACCAGTCAAGGCGCTGCAGTGTAATGGGTCACTCGGGCCACGCCAAGTGACACGTCCCCACAATCATCAGCTTTTCTGAAGGAGCTGGGACATGCCATTCCCTGGCCCAGCGCTTGGTTCCTGCAGAATATGCTGCCACGTGTCACCCTTCTGGCCCCTTCTATACACGAGAGAGCTTGAATAAGAAACTGGGATTTGACAGACTGTGTGTCAAATTGTGTGGTAGGTCTCCTCTGGCTCAACTTCCCCACAACTTGTCTTCTGGACACACTGTTTCTGACCTGTAAATTGCCATCCTCGGGGGAGGGACTTCAGATTGACTGCAAGGAAAGTGTATTTGGCTAAGCTGGAATTCATATGCACAGTTGACACCCTGAACAAAGGGTTACATAGAAAAATGGAGTGGTTCTTACATCACAATAGGTAATTTCCCCTTCAGATACTCTCACCTTCTCATCAGTGTTGGAGACGAGCCACATCCACTCTGACATAATTAGCACTAATGTTACACTCCCATCTGTGTCCCTTCCTTTTTTCTTCAGCATCTGAGGAAGTGAATACAGGCAGTACCCAGGTTACGTCAGTCCGACTTAAGTCGGACCCCTAATTACGAATGGGGGGGGCGCAGCTAGTGCGGGGTGCCTCCCCCACTGTCGCCACCTCCGGCGGCGCAGGGGGCGCTTCCCCCCAGCAGACCAGGGAGATGCGGAGCAGCTTTTCTCGCCACGGAGGACGCGGGCGGTGGGACCGCGGCGCGTCTCGGCAGTCCCGCCGCCCGCATCTCCCTGGTCTGCTGCGGAGGGGGGAGCTGGTGCGCCCTGCCCCCCCAGCAGACCAGGCTTTTCTCGTCGCAGAGGACGCGGGCTGCAGGACCGCAGAGACGCGCCATGGTCCCACCGCCCGCATCCTCCATGGTGAGAAAAGCCGCTCCATGTCTCCCTGGTCTGCTGGGGGGGTTCCCCCAGTAGACCAGGGAGACGCGGAACAAAGCCGCAGAGGACGCGGGGGGGGGGGGCGCGGGCCCCCCCCGCCCCC